GTCGTTGGCAGAGAGCCCCGGACAGCCTAGAAGTCATGAACTCGAGCCGCGGAAGCCTGCGTTCACACGAGTTTCGGATGTGACGAAAGTTATAAACATTGTATCAAGACGTGTCATTGCTGCTGACAAACCTGCCGTCTGCTGCAACTGCAGAACAAATCACTCTGCAAACCACACCGGCTGCAATGCCTACATAGCCTTTGCTGCCAAGAGAAAAAATGTTGATCCAAAGCAGAGCAAAAACTTAGCCACAAAAAGCACAGCCCGCACGCAAGGTAGATAAGAGCACTACCTTCACGAAAGCGGCGTACTCACCACAACAACACCCTGCGCAAGCAGCGCGCGCGGCAAGTCGTGTCCGAAAGGGCATTCAAGAGAGCCGCTCGACGTGACACCGCCACGCCTAAGATGCCTTCACACAACACGCCAGCTGCTATGTCGGAGACGGATCCACTCCGTATGGAGGTCTCAGCTGAAACAACAGGTTACAAACCTCACTACACTACTTCAAACTTTTTGCGCTCAAGTGACAGCCCACAATGGCTGAACATCGAACGCAGGGAAACACCAGAACCCGCCCTCTCGCGGTAGCTGCCTGGAACGTGAACGGTCGTTTCGACAAACTGGTCGCGCAGACAACTTGGAGCTAAATAACATAGCTATCTTCCGCACCGTCCGCGATGCTCGCCATTTAGGAAGCGGAGTAGCGGTTGCCGTTCGTTGCTCGTTGCCTCATCGCTCGGCAGCTTCACCTCGCCTCGCCAGACTTGAAGCGGCAGCGATGGTGGTAAACATGACGGAAGGCGAAGTTGGACTGGTGTCAGCATACTTAGCACCAATCATCCTTTCATAGATGACGATTTCAACGCTGTGTTCTTTCTAGCACCTCGCACGGTTATGGCGGGCGACCTGAACGCCAAGTGCAAGGAATGGGGCTGTAACACAACAAACAGCAACAGAAATTTACAATTTTCTTGCTGTTACACAACACTGAAACTCATCCCACCTTCCACCCCCTACCCGCGTCCTCAATGACACTCGCTTCTGATCTGCTGAGCCATGCAAAGTACAAATCGCAAGGCCGTATAGGCCCTCTCGTTCTTAAGGAGACCCTACTAGTCATAAACACGGGGTTTACGCGAATCTACAACAGCTGCATGACACAGAAGTACTTTCAGGAAAATTCTAAATTAGCAAGTATCTCCATGCTTCCGATACCCGGTAAGGATCTCACTATCACTGCGACCAACACCATCTAGGTGGTATTGCTGCGAACCACATGCCAATCAGTCTCCTTCCTGTTACAGGAAAGGTGTTCGAAAGGCTTCTATCCCGTCAAATCCTGCCAACTACTCTCACACGGAACCTCATCCGAGATGAACAATTTGCCTTCAGGCAGGGCCATTCCGCTTCACTTCAACCACTTTTCATGGCTCGGCAGATGTCCGCTAATCTGTTACTTACACAGGATGTCATATATATCGACATGGTGTAAGCCTTTGACAAAGTGCCACACAGCACACTGATCACAAAACGTCGGCGCTGCCATCCACAAGATGTAACCGAAATGGTTAAGTCTTTCCTCACAAACCGTGCATTCGTGGTCAATGTGGGCAAAGCGAGATCCTCAAAGCGGAGGATTGCGGCGGGAGTCCCTCACGGCTCCGTCCTCTCTCCGCTACTGTTCTCACTGTATGTCAATCACATCCCGCATGCACCACGTACACGGCTTTTCCTTTACGCTGATAACATATTTGTCTTAGCAATAGGAATACACCTTGACCACCAATTGAAAATACATCAAAAACAGATGAATCTGACGCTGAAGTGGGCGGGACTAAACCACTTGACTTTTTCAGTGGAAAAGTCGCAGGCAATCTGTTACACCCGCCGCATACGTAAATACGTTTTACACTACCAAAACATATTACACATGGCACACAAAACCTGACATGTGCGCCGAAGACAACTTATTTAGGAGTCACATTTGATCGAAGGATGCGCTGGCATTTACGTCAGGCAAATTCGATCATTCGATGGCTTGGCACTCTATAAAACGTGGTGGACCACAGCACAAAGTACAAAGATACACTTGAGCTAGTACAGAACAAAGTTATATTGCTCATCCCACGCACTCCGTTTCGGAAACGGTCGAAAGTACTGAGGAAACATCTTGATATCCAGTCCTTCACTCTAGGCTTGAGACAGCTTTCGTTTAACGAAGCCTATCAAGCCTTTCGAACCAACGAAGTTCCGGCAACGCTAAAACAATTAGCTAGACACGTCATCACTATAGGACAAAAAAGACAAGCACTCCCCTCTGATATTCTGAGAGCTTAGTGCTACAAAAAACCGATTTGGTTATTGACTAAGGTCCGACGCGAACCCACACCAGCTACTTACATATAGCAGTAAAACGCAAAATGTGTACGAACTGCAACACAACTACAATCACACAAACCTTCGGCTAAGCCAAAAAAAAAGTCATCGCCTGTCGGTAAGTACCCTTTATTGCATAGTGTAACACAGGTGTAACATAATATTTTTTCAAGTCATAAACGTATTCTAACGATTTAATTATGAACTATTTTATATCACACGTGATGTACACCGTGTGGTCATGTCACCTCATGCATTGTTAGGCGGTAAACGCGATAAGATAACGAGTTAAAGTGATAGTAATCTTCGGGCGCCGTGACTTGAAACTTCCTAGTTTCAGACTCTGTTTCCGTTTATCAGAAACGAAATATTTTTGGGAAAATAATCAAACTAAAATACGAATGATATTGCTTGATACTTATTTTATCCAATTAACTGTATGAAAAGTAAGTACATTTTTTAAATTGTGAAATATACCATATTTTTATGTAACCCAGGCGTAACATGCATGTACAGTACTCTACAAAATGTTACTTTGGTTCTGTGGTATTGTGACATATTTTTTACTTTGATTTTTTCTAATTTGAATAAATTTATTTTCAAATGAGTTAATAAAACTCATCTTTAGACTGAAGGCGAATTTATCGGAACTGAAAATAATATGTCTTTGGAATTCATCACATGACAATGAGGATGAATTAGTCGTATCAGTAATTTGTGGTGATGAAGAGATTACGTTCTCAAAAATTGATTAGCTGATTCTTGAAAATGAAAAGGTTCTCTTATTTCTCAAACTGGATGATACCAATACATCTGAGATACCTGAACAGAGGAAACTTCGAATGGGTAAAATCAATCCAAGCAAAAACATTGTTTCCTTCAATTCCACAATTGGAAACCGTTTAAAAATATTAAAATACTATTATCTAAATTTATTATAATATATTCTACATAAAATTCATGTTTATTCTATTGTGTTGTTTTTGATTATTTTTTATCCTCTATGTAATCAAGAAACAATATGCAGAGTAGCAGAATTTTACTGCATGATGTATCTAAGTAATATAATTTTATTTTGTGTTTTTCACAAGCAATATTTACTTCTGATTTTTTATTATTTTCCCTTAATTAAAATAGATAAATGTACTGAAGTATAGTTATTGCAAGTTAAAATATAAAAAATCATGCAAAAAGGGTTAAATGTTTTGAGATTTCGTTTAATTGTCATGTAAGTGGCGCCATGTGCCTAGTAATGTGTGGCAACAGCGCATGGAAACGTCAGAGTCGCTTATACACTACCGGTACTGAGTATATTTGAAGTAAGTGTATGTAGTAACTCAATTATGATAATAATCTAAAAGAAATTGATTAATTAGCAGTGATTGATTAATGGTAAATTAAATGGTACTCTTAACTAGTTTCTTTTGATTGCATTGAGAAGGTAGAAGTTCACTCAGGATATGACACTCATGTTATACATATTAACACAGCTACAATTGACTGTAATGTAAGAGAATTAATGTCATAATTTGCAATTATGACATATTCACAATCGAGTAAATTCAAGCACCTTTTCCTGAGCACAGTGAGATCCAAAAGATCTAACAGGATTTCCTGCCTACTAATCCTTTAAAATGTTTGTCAGCTTTGTATAAGGTAATATAGTAATATATTTCAATAAAATAAGTATGATTCAAATATACGTAATTTCACTTCTTTACAAGAATTTTTCAAGCCCTTGTATTTATATGCTCTGAGAATGACCTACCATTTACCACTCGTCACATCCTCATCTGCTTAATTGGAGAGTTGTTTCTCGTATTATAAGACATTTATAACAATGCCAAGCACAACACATTTTTTTGAAGGTCGCATCAACATCTAGGTGGTATAGGGTGAGAAGACTAGCACAAATATTACAATATACAACCATGCCCGAGTCGGAACTCGAATTCGCGATCCTTCAGTCCGAAATCGCTATCGCACTATTGCCTTAACGATCTCGGCCACCGGACCGGCTGGTTAAAGCCATAGAGGAGAGATACAATAGGTAGATATATCTACTCTATGGTTAAAGCTCGCAAGTTATTTTGTAAACATGCATGCCAATCTCCGATGGAGAAAAAGTCCCTGCAATACTATCATGGGGATTTAAGTTGGGGTTGGCTCCTACTTTCTTCACTTAATTTGTAATCAAAATAGAAGGTGACGAGTGATACAATTTTATAAAATATTAGCTATTACACTGTCATATTTTCCTTTATAAACGTTCTTTGACAAAGATCTTTACAGTAATGTCAAGAGATGTGCTTAGACATGAGGAAAGAGGCTGGTAAGACTGCGTCCACACGCTAGAAATTTGTTATTCGATGTCTCGAAATACCATTATGGGCCACAAACCGAGGGTGGTGACTAAATATACTCTTTGGTGAGAGAAGTAAGCTATGAGATCCGCTGAGTCCCATTTCTGGTTTTATTAAATGCTCTTGTGAAATTTTAACCCGTGAAATCCTTGTTTTGTTACCATCATCGTAAACCATCTCTAACAAGTTTGAATTGCCTAAAGAGAAATACATTACTACATTGCATACAAATCATCATTTAATTACAGATTAGAGTAAGCCATGCTGTCACCATTGTTTCTATTTTCCACATTTCTTGCAGCGCAATTCCTCGGTGTAGTTGTTGCGGGCCTATCGGCCGTGGATACACAAGGTCTTGAACTCTTGATCTGACACTTTCGGCAAAGGTGCTGCCCAGAGAGTATATTGGTGCTGCCCTCAGGTAAGAAACTCTAAAAGTCACGTTTTCTGGGCATCAACTATATTTTAGTATTATAGTAGGATTTATTTAACAACGCACTTGTAAATCAGACGTTGGATAAAACAGCAACAGCTGGTTTACCTCAAGTGCACGACTAAATAGATCGTACTAGACTATAGTATATACTCCAGGGCCCGGCAACTCTCTATCAAAATTGGGGACAAAGCTCGAGGTTGCTACTATAGGAAGCGCTAGTGTCGCCGGGTGCTGCTGCAGGTTAGGCTCGCCAACTTTCCCACATACAAATTGGCTAATTTGTGAGAAATACGAAAAGTGTCTTCTAAATGTACAATTATTCATAATGTCTACTTGTAAGAAACCTCAGAAGAAAGCGCGAACATAGACGTTATCTTTTGTAACATTATGATCCTGCTTGCGACCCGCGAACTCACGCAGTAGTCACGCACGTTAAAAGTATCGTTGGCAGCAGTTCCTGTTTTAGTTCCTGTACAGAAGGTGATGCAGCAGAGCGCGCCACCATAATGGTTTCCACCACGTTATATGGGAGTTATAGGGCCCTGATATACTCTTTGATATGCATGTTCTTCCTGGTTCTTTCGCGCCACGCGTTGCAAATGCGTACGGGTTTGAAATAGCGAATTAGTTCGAACTATTGGAATGAAGCTGCTTAGTATAGAAGATGACTTATTTATTCTGTGTATTTAATCCCTGGTGGGAAAGTAATGTTGAATTGTATGACTTGTTTGACAATATCGTGGAATAAGGTTTCACGAATTACATAAACAAGTTGCTAATAATTTCCTGGACCGATATTATGTCTCAAGAAGTCCAAGTTCTTCAATGCTACTCTTGTCAGTCATACCAGGTACTAAAATACTCGTATATTAGTGAAGTACATGGATAGTTTTTGGAAATCTCATCAATTTCTTCTAAGAAGAGCTAAAGCTTTAACTGTTGCTGTGTATTTTTTTGTAGACTCAGATCGTGAAGAAAACAAATAAATGGGTTTGCAAACTTTGTAATGAAAAGCAGGTTGTAAAGAAGGTGGGTATCTGTGAAATTATCATGAATGTACTAACATTTGATGTTGGACTGTATAATTGAAATATCCATCAGTGTTACAGGTATTAGGTCAAGGGAATGGAAAGGACTGTCGCAAACACTGTCAACGCTTAAATGCTTTACGAGAGGCAAAACAAGAAAAAGAAAAGAATATCTCTCTCAGTTTGTATGGTCATGAAAATACTTCTGAATGTTCAGAGGAACGAAGTGAGTTTCCAAATCTTTTTAATCCTATTCAGTGGCCCAACCAGGAATTTGTTCTGCGATTGCAGTAGATGTGTAGTGACTACTTGACAAATAATAATAATAATAATAATAATAATAATAATAATAATAATAATAATAATAATAATAATAGTTGTAGTAGTAGTTTATTGCTTATAGATGAATAAGTATCGAGCAGGATCAGTTTCAAGGTAATAGCAATGTTCAATTTTTAACATGATTTTTCTTGTAAAGAAAAGTTCATTAATGCAGATTTTGTTATAATGTATAATCATTAATTAATTTATTTAATATTTTGGTGTATAGTTATTTATAAAAGATGCTGAATGACTTTGCTTATTATAGAAACTAAATAAAACTCTTTTTGTGATTGTTTCATTGGCTTTGATGGGACAGGAGGGTCTGAAGTCATATGAGCCCCTCCCCTTGGTTGCACCTTGTTATTTCCAGTATTTTTGCTTTGATATTTTTTCTTAAGAATTCTTTGAAATACTTATTTTCAATGTTATTTTGATATGTTTTGTGTCATTTGTATGATAAATTGTTTTAGATATTTCTTGAACTTTTTGTAATGACTTGCTGATTATTTTATTAGAAACCATCAGTGTATACCCTCATTATTATTTCAAAATCCTATTACAGGTGACAAAAACATGTCATCTCAACCTGGAAACAGTAAGTGGAATAAGTACCTCTCGCAGACTTACACTTCTGAAGTTGATGAAGAAGAACAAAATGATATTTACCCCTCACAGCTTTATTTTCCATCATCTACGCCTGTTAGTGTTGACATTCCTTCCCCTGCAAATTCAAGAAATGATTCAGTTCAAACTATTTCTAATCTCTCATCTGATTTTTTTATGGACAGTGATGATTGCTTGTTTGTTGATATACCACAAGACAGTGATACATCAAGGAAAGATACTCATAGTAGTGAATGTGATGAAATAAGAACTAACACTATAAATACAGCTCCAAAGAAACAACAAAACGAACTGCTTCCATCTGGTTCTTTTGGTCATGGTGTTTCAATTCAGTCAACAGAAAGAAGTATCAAAAATTCGGAACATTTGAAAATGTCAAAGGCAAAGCCAATTGAAGTTGGGAGGGGTGGAAAAGGGCCTTCTGGACCTAATCATTGTGATACCAATGCAGTGTTTAAAATGGTGCCTTCAGATGGTTTTGACATTGAACATTTCAAAAAAAGTATCAGTTTGTTTGAAGATATTGACAAATACACAACTGATGAATTAAATGAAATGTGTAAATTTTAAATAAGAAATGTAAAATTGGAAATTAAATATAATTTACAAAGGCTTAGAGTATTTGTTCCTTTACTGCATTTGGATTATATGGGGCAGAAAAGAGAACATTAATTAATTAGAGAAGATACCAGACTTTCTTGTGTTCTGTTTTTATGTAAATGTGTGGTTGTCTTTTTTTCTTCCGAATTTCTATTTAAGTATTAAATGTCAAGATATGTCTACTGCTGTTCTATGATTAATAAAAGATCTTGAATTTAAATTTAGGTTTTTTTGTAAATAGACATTGCTAACCAACTTCAATTTGTTGTAATTATTATGATTAGGGAGCAGATTTTAATGAAATATCTTTTTTTTTTCTCTTTTCACTTTAGATCAATTCTGTTTAATATAGAAATTCACTTTATGTTATAACAAAACAAAGTGACAGATTTTTATGTAATTTTTGCATTTTTTGTTGATTTTGACTTATAAGTTTGAATAATAAGTTAAGTTAATAATATATTTCAACCTTTCTGTGTTATTTTTAATGCATGTTTCGCAGATTTCTTTGATTGTAATATCATTTTAAAGGTACTTGCTTCAAACAATATTTACGAAGTGCATCAAATGTTCACCACAATTTTCCTGTGTAACCTATTCAATTTCTTCATTTATATATTGTAATGTCAGGTGTTGTGAGTACTATATAATGTAAGGTTCCTGTGACACCTGTCAGGGAACACATCTTTGCAAGTCTCCTGATTTCACGATAAAGGCAGAGAATTTTCTTTTAAAGAACAGTCCAAACGAAATGTTTGCAAGCAGAGTTCACTTGTGTTTTTGATCAATTTTTTTTTTTTTTTACGTCATTTTCTTTTTGTTTTTAGGATATTTTTAAGAGCATTTTATTGATCATTTTTGGCAATGTTTCATGATATCAAAATTCACCTCTCATCATGTTTTTTAATATAGTAATTCAAATTAAACATTCTTCTTTTGAAATGTAATTGTGCAAAGTTTAATCTCTGCAGTTAGGGGCTTTCTTGTTTTTATGTTCTTTATTGACAGTCAATTTGTCTTGAATTTTACAGACTACTTAAATGTACACTAGTGTTTCTAAATACGATTTCTGTTAACATCAAGCCTGTGTAAGGCCCTTCATTTGAAAAAATCATTATGAAAAGCTTGTTTGAAGATTTGGTATCATTCATTTTATTACAGTGCATGAATGGAAAATTGTCAAACGAGGATATTAGGTTGTCACTATTTGAGTATTGTAATTAAATTTTACAATAAAAATATCGTATATTGCATTCATTTTATAGAAATTCCAAATTCCTATTGTAAATTGTTTTATTCTTGGAAGAACATACGCACTGATTGGCCTAATTCTGAGTCTTGGGGAAAACTTTCTCACGCCCTAAAGATCCTGCTGCCTGAGATCATAAAGCTCGATAAGAGCATTTGAGCAGACGTACATAGCTTGCATTAGAATATATGAAGTAGTTAATCAGTGAAACATAATTTTCTAGCTTTAATGTCTTAATAAGCATTAAAAAGAAAAGAATTCAAATGAGCACATTTCCCACAGAAAACTTATAATTACATTATAATAATTCTTAAAGAAAAATCTAGTTACATTGAAAGATTAGGAAATTTTTCATTCTCACCAATGCGCTATCGAGATGTACCATTACTATTACATGTGACAGGTTTCTTTCTTTCCTCAGTGTTCCGTGAGCAGCTTTGTAATATTATTCAATAGCTGTCTTACGACCAGAGAATTACGCAAGCAGAAATTCTGGACCAGACACATTTGTTTCTTTCTTTTGGCGTCGCCTATGAGAATAGAATTAGAAAATTTTGATATCTTCCTGTCGCCACTAATTTCACAACGACAATCAAAAGAGAAGTGCCCCCTAAGGCAGTTAAACAAGAAGTGTTTCTTACGATATCCCAACAAGTGCCCCTCACGACAGTCAACCAAGATGTCAGTTTCTGCAGCCGGTAGAGTATCCTCTGCTCTCCCCATCTTGTTGTTCCAGAAAGTTCTAGATCGCTCTGAAATCTAATGAACTTAGCAATTGCACTTGCTAAAAGCTAATGAACTTGGCTATTGACTTAGACTCACATATATATTTATATAATTTATAGATATAGATATGTGTGTGTTCATAGATGTATGTATATATAAAAACAAAGATATAAAAATTAAAAACAAAGTAAATTATTTATAATATAATGCTTTAAGAAAATTAAAATATTAAATTTAATAAATACTTTATGGTTTTAAATTAAAAAAGAAATAATTTGTTATTAACATGTTGAATTTAGAGCTGCAAAACGAGTTAGGATATTATATTTTTCATTCAATAATACATGAGCAGATAGAATTTAAATAAAAACTCATGATATCGATTTACAAATTAAACATTCTCTTACATACAAATATTACTGAAGAAAGTTGATAGGATATCACAAATTATATCTCAAGCCTCTTCTACTTAAAAAAAAATTATATTTCTTTATCTTTTCTTCTTATTCTTTTTAGATATTTTCGTTCTCTTTTGAAGTATTTATTAAACATACCGTCTCCATGCGCATGTAAGCGATCCATGCTCTATTTGTTTTGTTTCGGACATACTGTAATTGCGCGAAATGTCACAGCGGCCCACGATCACTCTCTTGTCAGCTAGACTGTCAACACTCTCCGGTTTCTTCAGTCACATACTACGTGAGTGAAGGTCACCGTAGCACCACCGCTTGTAATATTGAATTAATTCCTTATTTTACGTGGCGAGATTCGGGCCATGAGGCCTGCTCTTCCGTCTGACCTCGCAAATTTCGCTTTCTTCAACTAGCAGAGAAAGGAAGTAGTTCTTGGGCGAGAAACAGGCGATTTGAATTTAGCTCAGAGGCGCCATTTAGGCTCTAGGATATTTTACATCCAAGTAAATCTACCGCCGGACAGCCGGCTTTACTTCCCCTCCGAAGGAAGGCGTACGAAGGATTTTTTCGCCCTTAAAAATCCACGGCTTCGCTAGGGTTTGAACCCGCCAATTTGCATACAACAGTCCGAAACGCTAACTGTTATACCATCGCCGCGTGGAGTAAGCACCGGAGAGTTACAACATCACATAAGGGGGTAAGAAAGATATAAGCTCAACACGTCTCGGGAGAACAGTCGAAGACATGTTCCACACGAACCACTGGGCTAAAAACAGGGATATTCCTATTCGTAACTAAAAGCCTAGGGACAGAACGCGCGGTTATTTTTTGATACATTTTAGACGTTTCTACAAGTTTTTATTTTGTTACTCATTTTTATTTTTCCTGCACTTCTGCCATTTTAATTTTTTCTCGGACCTCTTTTCTTGGGAGGTACGCTCCTTCTTGATCCGGCACTGTGATTACATCAGTACTATATCCAACAGCTTGAATTATGCATCTGAATTTGTTTTTATTAAAAAAACGTCATTTTTCTACGCTTGTAGGGCATCTTAAAAACATTTTAAGAGTGATGACATTTGATCATCTTTGCCGATGTTTAGGTCATTAAAATCCGCCCCTTAATTATTATATTTCCCCATCCTAGGGATACTATAATTATTAATGCCCGGCTGAGTCGAGTGGGATGGGTACATTCAGATAGTTTTTTATTCAAAATGTTTTGGGCGAATGTGTCATATTACAGATTATGTAAACTCGCTCATGCTGCGATATGCTTTTATTAGTTTTTATGATTATCCGTAAATATTTTAGAGAGAAGAGAGAAAGTTATGTAATGATGCGCAAAAAAACGGCAAATTTTGGGCAAAAAAACTCTCATTACAGAACCCTGGTAACGAAATAGTGATAAATCCACTTGCTAAATTTATAAAAAATCTTCTAACACTTGATGAAGCAAGAATCTGTTTTGTGGATCCTTGAAACCGAAAAATCGATTGATAACAAAACGTCTGTCAGTCTGTGAACAACGACTAAACCGATCAGCCAATTTTATCCACAATTGATATTCCCCAATCAATCTGGCTGATGGTACGGCCCCTGGAATTTGAAACCGATATTTCAATTTTGAGGGATACTTTACATGAATGCACTCGGACATTTTCAAATAAAAAAAAGGCTCCATCAGTATTGAATAATTTTTTTTGTTAGTGTGAAGAACGTCTGGTGCTGGTCTCGTGTTCATTTTCGGAAAACTGCAAAAGTTGAAAACATTTTCGGAGTCTTCCTACAACTAAAATATTAAAGATAATGTCCCCCTAATGCAATCTGTTCCTTTAAGACAGATTTTGGTATAAGATAATGTACAATTTTTCGAAACTTTGAGTACTTTTCGCGTAATTTTGCGGGAAAAAGCACGTGCTTTTTTACCACTTGTTACTTAAAAGTTTCGTGAGAAGTTAAAATTAATAGTCACTGAAAAAATTGGGAGAGGGTTCCCTCATGCACCCCCACCGCCGTGGATCCGCGCCTGTTTATAAAAAAATAAAAATACTTCGGAATGGATATTGAAAAAGGCGGGGAGGGGGATTTGAAATGGAAATTTATCTCGCCCGTCTCGCCGCTTAGTTCCTTCTCAAGGCGTTCACTACGCTACGGTCGTGGTTGCCTGTAGTGTGTAGTCATTTCACGTTTTTTTGCCGTTAAGAGACGCTTGACCCTTGTTCGATTTAAATTTAGAAACTTTGACATATATCAGCTGTGACGCAATTATCCAATTGCAGTCGTTGTTATGAATTAAGTTTTTGTATCGATGCTCTCGATTACAGTATCCTTCTCTTCTACTAGCTCTCGACATCACGAAACCGGTCTTTTTAAATTGGACAATGGAGAAGACAGGCCGGGCACGTGGATCTAGGGCGGTATGAGCAGGATATGAGTACATGTCGCTTTTACTTATTTCCGGGTCGTGATAATAGGGAGGTTAAATATTAATTTTCAATCAGTTTACTATGACGACTTGAAGAGTAACATGTTTTTATCCAGAGTGTCAAAATGACAAGATGACAAATTGTACTAAGTGTTTTTTTAGGATACCGAAGGAATTGATACGGTAAGGGTTTCTCTTAATTTGTTTCTAATACTTATATATGTATATATTTCATAAATCTCTCTCTATATATAAAGACACACACACACACAGAAATGTTGATAAATGAAGTTACATGGTCTATGTACTACAGGTGTCGTTTATGGTTGAAGGCAATGGGGAAAAGCGAGTTGATATCCAAAGCAGATAAGCTGCATCGAAACACGAGAGTGTGGGCAGATCATTTCAATGATTTATATTTCACAAGTACATTGCGAACGAGATTATTGCCGTCTGCAGTACCCAGGGATTTTATTAAGAGAAATCCTAGTGTGGAACAAAATGGTTAGTACACCTGTGGCAATAATTGAAGCAAATTTGTTTTCAATGAATTGTCTGTACATTAATGTTATTATTATTTGCAGAAATAATAACTGAGAGACGCAAGTCAAAAATAAATCTTGAGACTGCAGATTCCACCACACTTCAGTACTCTTGTTCCCCAGGTGTGTAAATGCAATGCTCTCCTTTTCCAAGATATGGTAGGAGTAGAGCTGGTGATGGGGGTTGCTATTTTGTTAACAATACTATAAAATAAAATTTTAGTTGGTTTACCAATGCAAATAAGTTTGAAGAAATAAGAAAATTTCCCTTGGAAGTGAATGTTTTGTTTTCTAATGTTACGAACCTCACTTTGATGGTACTTTTATTTATCATTCAACTATATATAATAAAAGGGTGGGGTAGGGATTCTGGGGCTTATGAAATTGTGCCCAGATAATATTTCTCCGCCATAGGTTGCATATAGTTTTTACTGCTTTTTGATGAAAATAAATTAAATTAATTCAAATTAAATCTACTTTAAAATAATTTTCTATAATGTCAGTAATTGTTTTTTGTTGCCTTGAATTGTATTTCATTTCATTTAGTTGTTTGTATGGAAGTTAAGAGACTTGTTTTTTTGTTTATTATTATTATTATTATTTTTTTTTTGGGTGATAGCCCTGATTGATTCAGGGACTTGTGATCTTCATTGTCTTTCACTCTAGATACTGGGAAAAGGCCTTGTGGTTACCT